CCATGCTGAGCAAGGTGCGCACATGGTCTGCGAACCAGGCGAACCCAGTACTCCGACAGGCAGGATTTGTCCAGTTTACTGTTTCGGGTTTTTGCGGTTGGAGATGATTTGAAGGGGGGTTTGGCAGTTCCAGCTTAGCCGCGTTCCGTTTGACCCAAGGTAGCTGCCGTTTGCATGTGTCGGGCTGTCTGTCGGGTGATCCAGGATGATCCTCATCCACCGCAAGAAGAAGAGTGGCCGCGCCTAAGTGAGAGAAGCAACGCAATCTTCCAGCGAGCCTTTCAAGGACATTCTCTCGAACTATGTTGCTTAGCGCACTCATTTGTTCATATTGTTCCTCCATAGGTTGAATCTTCTGACTGGGCATGCTGGTTAAAGTGAAACATTTGCAGATCCGCCCCGCGCAACTGTTCAGTTTATACCGCAGCTTTTCTTCTGCGCATGAAACACTCGGTGCATAGTAACAGTGGCAACCCAGACACGCACAGTCGGTTAGCTCAGAGATGCAGGTACTAAGAACAAAGAATGTGGCTGCGGAGCTGCGTAGAGGGCACTCTGGCCTTCGTCACTCCCGTCTTCATCGCAAGATGCTAAAAAATGAGCTGTGGCTGCAGTGTTCCTGGTATTCTGGATAGTCAAAGCTGGAGCAGAGTGGCTGTGCACTTGCCTGTTTGTTTTCACAGAAGTCCTGAGAAGCATTAGGACAGTTGCATGTGATTCCTCCTTTGTTTAAGAAATAGACAGCGCTGTACTGCAAGCCAGTCTGTGACAACCGGACTCAATGCATCAGGACGAAATTCATGACAGCAAGGAGTGAAGTAGTGAAACAACAATGGCACGGGAATAACGACCTAAAGTAAGTTAAGATAGTAGCCGCAACAGCGGCACCTGCAGTTGTAGCCTCGTAGCCGAGAGGCATAGTTACCCTTGCTACCAAGAGGTCGTGGTTACCGTCCACGATGTCGTGGCCGTGGTGAAAATCGTAGTTTAGGTGTAGGTAGAGCTGCCGGAACCGCAGCAGCTGCAGGAGGGCAGCTCCAGCAGCAGCCACAGCAGTAGTAGCCGTCGCCGGTGTTGTCGCCATCGCACTGAGAGGAGCACCAACAGAGATGATGCACAGCTGCACTCTACATCTGGTAGCAACGGCAATGGAGATTGATAGCAGTAGCATGCAACAATGCCAGAATCCACATAGCATGTAAACGCTATCGTCGCCACCATCGTCGTCATCATGCTTCCTTTTGGTTTCCTCCTGATCGCACTCGCCCTACGTATACATAGTCGTTCTTGGCTTCTGAACAGTCCTTCCAAACCCTACCATAATCCTCGTTATCACCATCATCGCCGTAACCATCTCTATCCTCCTCCTCAGAATCATCATCACCAGCAGAACCAGAATGATGATTATACTAATGTCGCCTTCACGAGCACCACCACCTCATTGTCATCATCATGATCATCATCATCAGCAGCAGCAATACCACTATCACTAGGAATACCAACAGGGTTCGCAGCAACCAGCGGAAACCACAGCCACAAACAACTGCAGCTACAATGACTCCGTAATGTAGGAGCCCAAATAATTACCAATGCTGTTTTTGGGGGCTCCGTATTATTATCCCAAAACCCTGTTCTAGTTATTGAGGCCCCTTTTTTGCGCATGCATGACACTGTTTACCTCGGACTCTGGGTTCAATGGACTTTCGACGGGCGACCGGCTCCAGGGCACGTTTGAAGATTCGTCCGATCCTAAGTGGGTGAGGGCCACGGGCAAGTTGCAAGGTTCCACAAACCAAGACCCTGAAGCCCTGAGCCTGGACTTCCCGACCCGTTGAGGGTTTAGGGGTCTTAGGGGTTTAGGGGTTTAGGGTTTGAAGCTCCAGCTTAGACAGTTTAGTGCTCGTTCCAGCTTTGGGCATCAGATGTAGCAGTAGCTGCAGGCGTGCTTTTGCTCGCCTCGCCACGCGTCTCTTAGCGTACGGTCTTACAATCCCTCTCGAGAAAAGTTCGAGTGCCGATAGCTCAGATGCATGGCAATAGCAACGAGAGAGCAACCAAAACGTCAAGGAGAGAGACAATAAGCAAGGAATAAGGCTTGTACGAAGCGCAGCAGTCACACCGTCTCTTATCATTGCCGCACAAGGCTCGTCAAACATAAGTCCGCATGAGGACGGCATCGTCCGTGCCAGCCGTGCAGGACAATGCTGGGCGGGACACTGAGCTCGGAACACTGGTTTGTGGGGTTTAGGGTTTCGGGGGTCCGAAGTTGAAGCGTTCAGAGGTTACAGGTTTGCCGATTCGGTCTTTGGTATTTCAGCTTCAGACAGGGCTTTGGGAGAAGAGTTCAGGGGGTTTTGGCCTTCTGGTTTCGGACTTTTTTGGAGTTTGGGATTTGTCTGTAGGGCCTTGAGGTCAAGCGCTTTCGGGAATGATGCGGTCAGCTGTGAGCTCTGTTCAAGCCCCCAGCCTCACCGGAACTCCGAAGATCGAACCCTGCACCCTCTGCCCGAAGGTATGCTAGGCGCCTTTGGCGGTAATATAGTATAATATAATATAATGTAACATAAT